TTTGGGAAGAGCAAAGTATGTGCTGGTCATTGTAGATGACTACAGCAGGTTTGGGTTCTGCTATTTACTAAAGAGTAAAAGAGAGGTGCTACAGAAATTTAAGTAATGGGTAAGCTTCGTAGAAAGAAGGTATAAACAACAGGTATGTCAGCTGCAGACTGACAGAGGTTCAGAATTCATCTCAACAAGTTTTCAACAATGGTTGGGACAGTTAGGTATAAAACACAGATGCACAAATCCGTACACAGCAGCTGAGAATGGTGTTGTTGAGAGATGGAATGGAGTGTTACAAACGATGAAGGACTCACTGCTGGAGGATTCTGGTCTGAGCAGGTCATATTGGGGTGAAGCCATGTTGACTGCTAATTATTTAATCCATAGACTGTAGAGTTCCTCTATTAATGATACTCCATATGCAGTGTTATATGGGAGAAAGCCATTTCTGGCACATTTAAGTGTTTTTGGAAGCAGTGCATGGGCACATATTCCAAAGGCAATTAGAAGAAAAGGACAACCAAAGGCTAGAAAGATCAGATTTATGGGTTATGAGCCTGGTTCAAAAAGCTATCGCTTTAGCGATGGGAGCAAAAGAATAGTAATTTCTAGGTCTGCTAGCTTTGCAGAGCAAAATTGGAACAGAATTGATACAAATTTATGGAATGATCCACTTAGTGACAGTGATTCACTTAGTGATGGTGATCCACTTAGTGACAGTAACTCACTTAGTGATGGTAACACACTTAGTGAAGGTGTCAGCGTTCAGGGAAGAGAAGCTGAAAAAGATATGAAGAAAGAGAGGGTTCAAGCATAGGAACAGTCAATGCCGCGCAGGTCAGAGCGATGGAAGAAGGGGATTCCACTTGACAGGTATTCTGCTAGTAAAGTAAAGGTGTGTAATGTGTGGTTTGAGCCAAGGAACTATAAGAAAGTATTGACATTACCTAAAATTGAACAAGTAAAGTAGAAAGAAGCCATGGACAAGGAAATGGAATCCATGGGTGAACCTAACATGTTCACATCTATGATTTTGTCACAGGGTAGTAAAGCCATAGGATGCAAGTGGGTATACAAGAAGAAAGTACTACCCAATAGTGAGGTACAATATAAAACAAGATTAGTGGCACAAGGTTTTTCATAGATGAAAAATGTGCACTATGATCAGGTATTCACGCCAACTGTAAAGAGTGCAGGCATAAGACTCGCAATAGTGTTGGCAGTGGCACATGGCCATAAAATTTGGCATTTTGACATAACCACTGCATTCCTCAATGCAGAATTAGTGGAAGAAATTTACATGGTTCAAGCACCAAGGTATGAAAGTAAAAGGCCTAACACGGTGTACAAATTGAACAAGGCCATTTATGGGCTGAAGCAGTCAGCCAGGAATTGGAATATATGTTTAGATACTGCATTGAAGGGTCTTGGGTTCAAGAGTTGCAAGGCTGATGGTTGCATATACACTGGAAAGTTACAAGGTGGGGATTGTCAACTATTAGCATTTGTGGATGATCTTTGTTTCATTGCAAAGGATGTATCACAGGTAAAAGAATTTGCTAATAAGTTGGAGAAGAAATTTGAATTAAAGAACTTCGGAGAAATACAAAATTATCTTGGTGTGGAGATACAAAAAACTAAGAAAGGTGGTTATGTTGTCAGTCAAAAAAGAAAAATTGAACAGTTGTTGGAGAGAGATGACATGAAATATTGTAAAACTGCTCCAACACCTATGAGCACAGATTTTCATAACAGTTTGGGTGAGGATGAAAGTGAAGCCTGTGATCAAGAGATATATCAGTCAGCAATAGGAGCCTGTTATATCTGTCACAGTGGTCCAGACCAGACATAGCTTGTGCAGTAAGCATTTTGAGTTGCTTTACTGCTGCACCAATGCAATTGCATTGGATGGGTATAAAAAGGATTCTCAGGTATTGAAGGGAACTGTGAATTTGGGTCTTCAAATACAGGTCTCTGAAGAATTAAAACTGAAATGCTATGTTGATAGTGATTATGCAAATGATGTAAAAACCAGAAAGTCCGATTCTAGGATTGTGGTATTGTTTGGAGGGGCTTTAATTGGTTGGAAGTCAAGGAAGCAAACAACTGTAGCCATTTCTATTGTGGAGGCAAAATTTATTGCTTTGTCTCAACTCTGTTCAGAGGTATCCTGGTATGTACAGCTGTTACAGGATTTAAATGGAAAGGTAAATGAAGCTGTAACGTGTATGAGGATAATGCTGCCTGCATTAAAATGGTAACAGGTGACAGAGTAAAGAATAGAAGCAAGTATGTGGACATTAAATATTGTAATGTCAGGGAAGCCATAAAATGTAAATTGATTAGCTTGCTTCACTGTTCTTCAGAGGACAATTTGGCAGACATAATGACCAAGCCATTGGGTGGAGTGCACCATGGGAAGAATATTAAGTTAATTGGATTTATGTCTGTTCCAGAATGTCTGTTCATGAATATTCTTTGTCAGAATATTCATGAACTGGCAGAGACATGATAACAAAGTCAGTCAATGAATAGGCATAGCAACTAAGTCAGCCAATGGGAGCTGAAACAGTTTGGAGGCTGGGCATGGCTCAGCTCTGTGCTGTGCTGAGAAATGAAACTGAAACCAGTCTGGACTTGCATCTCTGCTGTACTGCTGGCTTGTGTTTTGCTTGTAACTGCTACTACATTGAAGAAGAATCTGTATTGGTATTGTACATTTATCTTCATGTACCATATTTTTCAGAGTATAAGACGCACCTTTCCCCCCCAAAAAAGAGGGTAAAATCTGGGTGCGTTTTATACTCCGAATGTAGCCCCCCCAGGTTCTCAAACAGAGGTTTCAGAGGCTGAAAAAAGCATTAGAAACGAAGCTTCAGAAAAGAAGCCCCCAAACAGAGCTTCAGAAAAGAAGCCCCCAAACGGAGCCTTTTTTTCTGAAGCTCTGTTTCGAAGGCTTTCAGAGGCAGAAAAAAAAGCAACAACAACAAAAAAAAGCAAGGCACAGAGCTCACAACCAAGGAACCTGTTGCTAAAATTCACCTCTGGGTGTTGTGGCCCGCCAGCAGCCTGTGCAGCTGGTAGCTGATTCCGACAGCAAGGAGACTGGTGTGGTGATTCACCAGCAGCCTGTGCAGCTGGCACCCGAGTCAGACAATGAGGAGGCTGGAGAAGATTTGGTGTCAGAGGCGGGGATTCAGCCAGGGCCTTCAGAACCTCCATAAGCTCCCATAAGTGAAGAGAAAGAAGAGGAGGAGCCTCTTCTCAATGCACAGGCATGCAGAGCTGCCAAAAGGCAGGAATGGCTCCTCAGGAGGAGGTCTCCTCAAAAGTAAGGCTTGGGGCTAATTGGCCACTCCCCTAGACTATTTAAGAAATGACGATGACTGAGGCAATCTGCAGAAAACAACTTCATTCATATTCCTTCGCATATTGACTCCAGAAACGTCTGATCGGCTCTTGCTTCTCTCTTGTCATTTTTCCTGCAAATTGCTTCTGAGCATTCTGCCAACCGCAGTAAGCTTACGGTTATCTGAAAGACTGTGCCTCAGAATTGAGTTATTATTCCTTGGACTCTTGTCGGCTGTTAATGAAGTTAAATTAACAGCCCTTGTTCAGAAAAGACTGATTTAAACTGTACTTGTACTTGAACAACTACTAAGAAAGCTCATTAGTAGTCCTTAATTAGTAAACTAAGGTTTGTATGGACTTTGTGTGTGCTGCATTCTTTATGGTCAAAGGAATCTGATGTTAAGCTATCAAAAACTACAGAGCCCTTCATTTCCTCATGAAAGGACCTGATGATATTGAGGAGCTGAGGTGGACATCCAATCTTGGGGAGAATTTTATAAAGGCCGTCCCTGCTAACCAAGTCAAAAGCCTTCGTAAGATCTATGAAGGTTATGAAAAGTGGCTGTCTTTGTTCCCTGCATTTCTCCTGCAACTGTCTAAGGGAAAATACCATGTCAATAGTGGACCTGTTGGCTCGAAATCCACAGTGAGATTCTGGATAGACTCTCTCTGCAAGCACCTGGAGCCTCTTCAGTACGACACGGGCAAGCCGCTTCCCTACAACACTAAGAAGAGAGATGCCACAGTAGTTGTTACAGTTACCCCTGTCACCTTTGTTCTTGTACAGTGTGACGATATTTGCATCCTTCATGTCCTGTGGTTCTCCACCTTCCCTCCAACAAAGACAGAAGATTTCATGCAGTTCAGTGGGGATGTTCTCTTTGCAGCACTTCAGAACTTCAGCAGGGATGTTATCTTTCCCAGGTGCCTTGCCAGAGGCAAGGGAATCCAGGGCCGCATTTAGTTCTTCTAAAGTTGGTTCACTGTCAAGCTCCTCCAAGGCAGGCAGGCACTCAATGTTATTTAATGCTTCTTCAGTTACCACATTTTCTCTGGAATATAACTCAGGGTAGTGCTGCACCCAGCATGCCATCTGCTGTGCTTGGTCCTGGATAACCTCACCTGTAGCAGACTTCAGAGGGGCAGATTTCTTCTGTGTTGGACCTAAGGCCTGCTTGATGCCATCACACATCCCCTTGATGTTGCCTGTGTCAGCTGCTATCTGGATCCGAGAGCAAAGCTGCAGCCAATAATCATTAACACATCTCCTGGCAGTCTGTTGGACTTTGCTTCGAGCAGCTCACAGAAACTGTAGGTTGTGCTCACTGGAACAGGCTTTATATGCACTTAGAGCTCTCCTTTTTTCCTCAATCACTGGGGTCAACTCCTCTGAATGGGCTTCGAACCAATCTGCTGTCTTTCTGATCTCCTTACGAAATACTGGCAAGGCGGTGTTATAAACAGCATTCTTGAAATATTCCCATCGTTCAGATGCATTTATTTCAGCTGGGCCTGGGAGAGTTTCCTTGAGTGTTTGTGCAAATTCCTCCACTTTGCCCTGATTGCGGGTCTGTTGATCTCAAATTGTAAAGCTACATTAACAGAAACTTGCAAGTCTGAAATTATATCTCTTCCCTTTCATATTGACAGTCCAAGAAACTAGGGAGGGTCCCTTCTGAGACATTTGTCACTCCCCTATTCTTTCTGTGGACTCAGCTGCCTTTTATCTGATCATAATGTAGTCTGCGGCTCTTCTTCCTATCTTCCAAGGTATTTCCACATATCATTACAGTGTGGGTGCTGTTTATTTTGTTTATTATTCCTAGAATTTATTATGATATGTGTGTATTTTTTGTTTGCTGTTGTTATATAGCTTTTATAAACCACTTAGTTTCATTTGATTAAGCAGCATATAATCACTTATAATAAATAAGGAATGTGACTATTATAAAACTCTTCATAATTGTATGTACATATATGCATATATATACACACACAAAGAATTTATCTGTGCTGGCCCAGGAAACTACCTTACTAAAATGGACATGAAAAGTACTCACAATCAATCATTATTGCCATTTCTCAAGTCTGCACATACCCAGACCAATGACATGCATATAGCAGCCATAGTTCAGCAGACTCCTGGCACTAACTGCATATTGCTGCTATGGCACCTGCCTTTTGGAATTTCATTGTCTCCACACCCAAGATGAGACTTGCCCAGACCTTGCTGGCCTTTCATAAGGCATTAAAAACTGGGCTTTGCTGTCAAGCCTGGAACCTTGATAGTAGGGGTGGGCCTGTTGTCTGGTTATATTGATTATATGGTGTTTCTGAGTATTCTCAGCTGCTATTCTATGCTGTTTTATGTTTTAACACTAGCTGTTTTTCAGTTTGTTCTTATTTTGTTAGCAGCCCATAGTCATGTATGAGTTGGATGGCTGTATAAATTTATTAAATAAATAAATATTGACATCTTAAGGCTGTTTCCCTGATAACAGCATGGAAATGGTCTGCTATTGCCTCCTTCTTCCAGGAGTCGTTTGCTTCCCTAATCCAAACTGTATAATGACGTTCTCTGTGAGTCTCTAATCCAAATACATCTTCAGACCAACCCTGCTTAGTTTCCAATCCTGGACAAGATCGCACAGCTACGTCCTTGCTAAGAGATTGGACACAGCCATGGCTAGAGAGGGTCTCAGCAGGTAAGCAAAGTCAATGGGTAAACTGGTAGGAGGTTACAAATGGCGACTGCATGATATCCTTGTTTAAGAACCCACAATGATTCACTTAACTACGGCAAGCAGGAATGTCAGAATTGCTGTTGCTAAATGGTGCAGTCAATAATGTCACACTTTATAACCATGTTGCTTATCTATAGGTATTCCAGTTCCAATTGCCATCATTGACCGAGAACTACCTATATATGGTAGGAATAATCTTGTATGTATACTCAGTGGGGTTTGTAATGATGCTGTTGTGTAGATGTGGGGAAAAAGTAGATATTTTGTTTGTTGCAGGGGGTACTACAAGAGTTGGTGGTGATGGCTACTGCTTTCGCTGGCTTCAAAATAGGATTGGATCAGTTCATGGAAGTCATGAGGATTGGTGGCTATTAGCCTTGATGGCAGTGACTTCCTCTGAAAGCCACCTGCGGGGAGATTAGTAGGCTTCCTGTGCAGTGGTTGGTCACTGTGAGAACAGACTACTGGACTAGATGAGCCAGGGTTCCAATTCAGGACACTGCTGATGTTCTTATAGACACTTCAATTAGATATTTCTCAAATCTGTTGCCAGCCCTGAAGATAGCTATGGTGTCTTCAGGTCACCATGAGAACAGAGCCACTGAGAAAGAAACTTGCCTGTGACTATCTAGGAAACTCATACCTATACAAGGCTTTGGAACTAATTCCACAGTTGTGTGTAAAAAAATAACATGTTTAGTAGATCTCATTTATTACAGTATATCACTTAGCCTGAAAATAACATGGTCTCATTTGGGATTAGATGCTTTTATCTGATTTCACATTAACATTTCTTCATTTTGTTTGTGCCATTTACTAGAACTCTTCCTCAAATGAAGGACACTGTGAAGCAAGACAGATTGTTAAAACAGAAATTTATTAAAATAGATTTTGGAAAGATGTGGGAAGTTCTTCACTGAGCACAGTGGGGGCAGTGCACTCTGCCAATTTTTCCAAGCAACAGCCCACCCATCCCTGTGCTACACCCAGAAGGTGCCATGCAGCTGACCAGCAACTGTGTAGCAGAGACAATAACAATTATCAGCACCAGGAAGAGTAGCAGGGAAAATGAGAAAAAGGCAGCCTTTCCTAATCTGGAACAATTCCCATCTTTAATTTCCATCTTTATGGAAATAATGCTCAATAAAGTTGGATTTCACTGATGGAGTAATGGAAATATAAAGGATCTCCAATTATTTTTTGGAGGACATGGGAGGTATTATCATCCCCTTCGGCAGAACTGTGTGGAATAATGATCATCTGCCAAGCAGCTGCAACAACTATTATTGAGCATGGTGGGTGAGTCAAGAAAGTGAAGCTGAAATTGTGAGGAATCACATTGTGATTTTAAACTAGAACAAGGTTAGCAATAAGTCATGGCTTCCTATATGGCATTGTTTGGAAATGTATGGTAGTTTTGAAAATCTCTACTCATTGGAAGTAACTACAGTGGAATAAGATTGACATCTATTTCTCTTGCAATGAAAACATATCCCTAAAACAACAATGGAATAGAAATTCAGCTCTGTTGAAAGCTTCCCCCCTCCCCCAGCATGCAAATGGCTCCAGATTCAACTAGGGTGTGTCTACTGGGAACAAATGATCAAGGTTCAGAGCTGATGAAACTGTATGTTTAAAATGTTTTCACATTGAGCTCCAGAAATACTCTAGGATAACACCCTGGAAAGCAGCAATAATTGACTCTAGGGAGAATCCATTTGAGCTGGAGTGTTATTGCTTGTTTCTGATGACTAAGCTCAGAAGAAAGTTTTGTGGATCATGTGTAGTTTACTTTTCTTCAGCCAACCTTTGCTATGAAGTCATCATATGAAGCTGAGCATGGATCTAAACCATAATCTAGTCTTTCTAATGACATGTATCTTCTCATGTATCTCCTTGGACCAAGATCCTTCCAATGTTAGCTGAAAGTTCTTCTTCATCAAAGGCCATATCTTGAGACCAGATTATTTACTTTTATAACAAGGTTTATTGATTATAGCTCAATCAAAAAGATGTCAAAACTGCCTATAGTGGACAGCCCTAAGATTTTGAGTAAAGTCTTATTTGCTTGATTTCTGGTCTTCAAATAGAGTATTAGCTACCATAATGATTAATTAATATTTTTTCTGACTATTCAAGTCAGAATATTAAAGTTTGCAAATTTAATTTTAAACTTCTCTTTTTAAAACCCCCACCATCAAAACCACCTCTCTTGGTCAAATGTGCCTTCTTCAGACTCACAGGGTTATTTCCCAAAATGGAGCTATTTATTTGGAAATCACACCTAACTTTTTTCTTAAAGAATCAGCAGTAAAGGAAAGAATGCCTTATCAGATTCCAAAGATTCCAAATTCCCAAAAGAACCTTGTCAAAGCAAGCTGTGATCAAAATCCCAAGAGCTCATTCTTAGAGAAGAAATTCAGTTAGTAACAGAACTGGTGAATGGCATCAGACCAACTGAAAAAGTGATGTGATTTTATTTTTACCCTTATTTTCCCTCCCCAATCTATGCTGCACACTCATATCATAGAACCAGAACTATGTTATGACAACTAACAAACCTGATTCCGGGAAAGTCCAAGAAATAGGTTGGGAAATGGAGAGTATGAGGTTAGAGCCCACTCCCCTCCCAAGATCTAGCTTCATATCAGGAATGCTTTCTTAGGTCAGACTTCACTTGTGACCGACCGGGAGGGAATGAGGACATCTGGGGTGGAGGGGAAGAGACAAAATTGAGAATCAGGTGGCCTCTGTGAACACAGCTCCGTGATTCTGGAATAGAGGAAGGGAGGGGAGAAGGGAGTGAGTATGTCAGAATGGACTTAAAATACAGGAACAAACTCTACAGATCAAAATTACAGAGTATTGAAACTCAAGCTTTAGAATTCTTCAGCAAAGCCTTCAGCTGAGTCCCAGCAAACAGGGGAAAGCCAACTGTCACCTTTTTCCATCTTTAACTTCTTAGGCAAAATCAAATATCAACCAACTTTAAAATATTCTCTTTTTATGTTTATGGTTCCATGTGTGTGTTTTAAAAGAGCAGATCTCTAGTAGTCATGACTGTAAGCCAAGGTATTTAACTTTTCATTACATGGGCAAGGCTTTTTGCTGATGAGTTTGAATTATCGGGTTCAAGAGAGGATTTCCTTGTCTCTTCTTATACCACTTAACCATATATCTCACTTAAAAAAAGACTTGAACAATGGAATAGTGTATCCTGGTGTAAACAAAACCAGTGAGCAGAACAGCACAGCAACACAGAAAGCAAAGACTTACATCACAATCCTATGTGTGTTTATTCAGAAGCAAGTTCCATTTTGTTCAGTGGGACTTATGCCCCTGAAAATGTGCACAGGACTGCAACCTAAATGTGGAAATTAAGCTGTCAGTGCAAATTTTCCCAGCAGGCACAAGTCATTATCATCTCAGAATCTCCATACCTAGTAGCAATAGCTAGGATATTTTGCACAGAACTACTCACACAAATACATTGAAACCAGTGGATTCCTCTGAAATGTGTGCCTTTTTACAAGAGTCCAATCTGTCATTGGTGAGCCATAAAATGTTTCAGGTTGGTGGTTGAGCACAGAGAGGGACCTTCTGGTAGTGGAGTGGGTGGGCGGAGAGGAAGGGATGTTGTTGTTGTTGTTGTTGTTGTTGTTGTTGTTGTTGTTGTTGTTATTATTATTATTATTATTATTATTATTATTATTATTATTATTATTTATTAAATTTTTATACCGCCCTTCTCCCGAAGGACTCAGGGCGGTGAACAGCTAAGATTAAAATGCATACAATATGAAAATTAAAATAATTTAAAACATGATTAAATTAATTTGGCTTCCCCAATTTAAGACCCCTTACCCATAAAATTAACCAGTTAAAACTTTTAAGCCAGCCTGGCTTGCTGAAATAGAAAAGTCTTCAGGGCCCGGCAAAAAGTATGGAGGTCCAGGATCAGTCGTATCTCTGGGGGTAGCTCGTTCCAGAGGGCGGGTGCCCCCACAGAGAAGGCTCTCCCCCTGGGGGCCGCCAGTTGACATTGCTTGACCGACGGCACCCTGAGGAGACCCTCTCTGTGGGAGCGTATTGGCCGGTGGGAGGTTATCGGTGGCAGAACGTGGTCTCGTAGATACCTGGGCCCTAAGCCATGGAGCGCTTTAAAGGTGAGAACCAATACATTGAAGTGCACCCGGAAGACCACCGGGAGCCAGTGCAGCTCACGCAGGAGAGGTGTTACATGGGAGCGCCATGTCGCCTCCACAATCACCCGCACGGCCGCATTCTGGACCAGCTGGAGCCTCCGGGTGCTCCTCAAGCGGAGCCCCATGTAGAGAGCATTACAGTAGTCCAGGCGGGAAGTAACAAGGGTGTGAGTGACTGTGCATAAGGAGTCCCGATCCAGAAAGGGGCGCAACTGGCGTATCAGGCGAACCTGATAAAAAGCCCCCCTGGCCACGGCTGTTATATGCTTTTCTAAAGACAGCCATACATCCAGGAGGACGCCCAAGTTACGAACCCTCTCCGTGGGGGCCAATGACTCGCCCCCTATAGCCAGCGATGACACCAGCTGGCTATATCGGGACGCCGGCAACCACAGCCACTCGGACTTGGAAGGGTTGAGTCAGAGCCTGTTCCTCCCCATCCAGACCCGCACAGCCTCCAGGCACCGGGACATCACTTCAAGGGCATCATTGGGGTGCTCTGGGGTGGAGATGTACAGCTGAGTGTCATCAGCGTACAGATGACACTGCACCCCAAAACTACAGATGATCTCACCCAGTGGCTTCACATAAATGTTGAACAGGAGAGGCGAGAGGACCAACCCTTGTGACACCCCACAAACAAGGCGCCTTGAGGTCGATCTCTGCCCTCCTGCCAATACAGACTGCGACCGGTCGGAGAGATAGGAGAAGAACCACCGTAACACGGTGCCTCCCACTCCCAACTCCTCCAGCTGGCACAGCATGATACCATGGTCGATGGTATCAAAAGCCGCTGAGAGGTCTAATAGGACCAGAACAGAGGAGCAACCCCTGTCCTGAGCCCTCCAGAGATCATCAACCAATGCGACCAATGCCGTTTCTCTGCTGTACCCAGGCCTGAAGACGGACTGGAATGGATCTAGATAGACAGTTTCATCCAGGTACTGCAGGAGCTGTCGCGCCACCACACTCTCAACAACCTTCGCCACAAAGCAAAGATTGGAGACTGGACGATAGTTTGCCAAAACAGCCAGATCCAGAGAGGGCTTCTTGAGGAGGGGCCTCACCACCACCTCTTTCAAGGCAGGAGGCAGAAAACCCTCACTCAAAGAAGCGTTTATAATCCCTCGTCTAACCTCCCGGGTAGCCAGCACCAGCCAGGAGGGACACGGGTCCAATAAACATGTGGTAGCATTCAACCTCCCCAGCATCCTGTCCACGTTCTTGGGAGTCACAGGGTCAAACTCATCCCAGATAACATTCTCAAGACCCGCCTCAGACATCCCACCTGAACCCACCCAGTCAAAGTCCAAGCCTTCCTGAATTTGAGCGATTTTATTGTGCAGATACTGCGCAAAATCCTCAGATCGCTCTTGCAAGGGGTCTTCCCGCGCTCCCAGGTGGGAGAAGGGAGCAGGTCACCCTAAACAGGGCAGTTGGGCGGTTATCTGCCGACGCAATAAGAGCGGAAAAGTAATTACACTTTGCCGCTTTTATCGCCACTAAGTAGGTCTTAATATGAGACCTCACCAGTGTTCGGTCAGATTCGGAATGACTAGCCCTCCAACCGCTCTCTAGGCTCTTTTCCGGCGCTTCATCTCCCTCAGCTCCTCGGAGAACCAAGGAGCTGGGCAGGTTCGACGCCGGGTCAGAGGCTGCAGAGGCACAACCCGGTCCAAAGCACCAGCGGCCGCTCTATCCCAGGCGGCCACCAGGTCTTCAGTCGAGTCGTGAGCCAGAGTCTCAGGAAATGGCCCAAGCTCCATCTGGAACCTATCAGGATCCATCAGGCGCCTGGGGTGGAACCACCTAATCGGTTCTGCATCCCTGCAGTGGGGTGTGGCAGTCAGAAAGTCAAGCCTAAGGAGGGAATGGTCTTACCATGACAAGGGTTCGATGGCTATGTCCCCTGTATCTAGGCCATTCAACCACTGACCAGAGACAAAAACCAAGTCCAGAGCGTGTCCTCCCGTGTGAGTAGGGCCATGAATTAACTGGGTCAGGTTCATTGCTGTCATGGAAGCCATGAACTCCTGAGCCACCTCAGATGTTTCACCAATGGACAGCAGGTTGAAATCCCCCATAACCAAAAGCCTGGGGGTATCAACTGCCACCCCGGCTATTACGTTGAGGAGCTCAGGCAGGGCCACTGCCATGCGACAGGGAGTCAGGTATGTAATCAGCAAGCCCACCTGCATCCCATGACCCCACTTCACAAGGAGAGACTCACATCCGGCTATCTGAGGTACAGTGGCCTCCCTAGGATCAAGACCTTCCTTTATAATAACCGCCACTCCCCCACCCTTACCCTGGGCCCTCGGCTGATGAAATGCGCAGAAACCTGGTGGGCACATCTCTATGAGGGGGACCCCCCCTCCTGGCCCAGCCAGGTCTCTGTAATGCCCGCCAGGTCCGCTCCCCCCTCCTGAATCAGCTCGCAAATGAGGGGGGCTTTGTTAACCACGGACCTGGCATTGCACAGCATCAGCCTAAGGCTCAGGCTCTGAGGCTCTGGACAACCCAGGGAACGAGAAGAGCATTGGGGATATGCACCCGAAGACAGCGGGTACATGCCCCCGCAACACAATATGGCCCCCTGCTCCCACCATATCTGCCCCTTCCACCCACAGTGCTGATGGAATCGCCCTCTTCACTACCAACACTAACCCCCTCAACTCCCCGCTCCACACCTCCCATGACGCGACCCTGTACCGGGCCTAGCCTCCCACTTAACAGAACACCCTCCCCACACCCCTCCCTTGCCAAACAACCCTCCCCCCAAAAAAACCCCTAAAAAGATTGACTAACAACAATGTTGATCTCCTGCCCTGCTTTTTTTTCTGTGTAGCTTTCCAGTGCTTAAACCAAATGCTGAAGAATGGCAGGCACTCCTGCTTTTATGGTGTCCCCTCTGCCTTAAATGGTTAAGGGGAAAGGATGATGTGGCCAGAGCAAGAGGACATCTTTAATCTGGGGAAGGTGCCAAGTGGACTGCATAGAATCACAGAATGTATGAAATGTTGCCAGAGTTCTTGCTGCATGCGGTTCATCACACCCAGCATTTTCTCAGGGAAGAATGCCCCCTTCATCAACGTTTTAACATTTTATTTATAACTACAAACTTCATTTCTGTTCTGCACAATTGGAAAGCTCTCTGACAGTTCATACCAGAGGTAAAACAGTAAAACAAAACGATAAATGAATTAAATAACCACAGAAGAAGAGCAGAGGACAATACATTGCTATTCAAACAAGCAGGTGTCTGATGGGTTGGCATTTCTGGAACCAATTCTCTTAATGCTGTAATATGCATTACATGAAATATTGTAGTAGTAGGCATAAACTGGAAACTATCTAAAAACTTTTGGGGTATGTCAAGTTGCAATCTGGCTCAACTACAGTATCAGGAAGACCAGGAATCATTACTTCTAACAAGGCACAATATTTTCTTATCGTATCAAAGAGGCTGGGATAGCTTAAATGGGCAATAAAATTGCACAGAAAACTTTTATATTATACTACTTCAGGGGACAATTTTAATTCATCCCGTTTTCATTTTACCTTGTAACTAGCTGTTTCTTATGCATAAACTCAGGTCAAAACTATTTAAAATGCACCTCAAGAAAAGGAAAGTATTATACTGTATTTGCAACAAAATGTTTGATGGTTCTATGATCATGCCCCAATATCTTAGCAATTTCAAGAGTGCTGCATCCCTCTGAATCCCTTTCAGAATCAGTTAAATCTCTTTTTTTGGCCCTTTTTGCCTGCCTAATAATTATGCCCACCTTGATATAGAGCAGTGTTGGTGAATCTTTTCAGCACCGAGTGCCAAAACAGGACTGTGCGCACACATACAGGGGAGCACTGGAAACCGGAAAACCTGCTCCCAGGTGCACGTGTGCAGGAGTGCTGGAAACTGGAAGTGCAGTTCCCCGGCGGAACTGGTTTCCAGCATGCATGCGTGCAGCAAAAACTGGAAGCTCAGCTTCCTGGTGCGCACATGCATGCCAGGGAGCTGCTCTTCCAATTTCCGGCGCTCCCGCACGCATGAAGACCAGCTAGCCGGCACCCAGAAATGATGATATGGTCAAAATACTCAGTTGCCTAATAATTGTGCACATAGTGTAGGCATGTCCCATCAATAGCTCTCTGATATTTCACTAAAAAAGTTGTTTAGTCCTAAATAGGACCTTCCATATGTAAAGCATACAGCCTTCCAAAGAACTTCCTCTTTTTCTCAAAAGGCTCTAAGCACACAGCAGTAATAGTTGCCCTAAATATCTGAAGGACACCAACAATATATAACATCAGCCTGTTGCACTGTGGCGAAAAAATGTGTCAGAGCACATCACTACATTAATACTGGGTAATGCTATTTACCTGCAGCACGACTAGTGTAAATTCAAAAAGGTCATGCTTTTTCCAGGTGAAACATTTCTATTTGATTTTGAATATTCTATACCACCCTCCATTTCCTTTCCTATATCTAAATGGAATTGGTATCGGCAACTGCCAAAGTTTCTGCTTGAACATCAGGATATCTGATCAATTCTTCTGTACCATGACTTTTTGCCTGCTTCTGTTGTCCAACCATATGCCAATCCGAAGTATCCCTTCCTTCTCCTTTTTTCCCCCCATGATAGTTATTGCCTATGGCAACCCTCTGTGCCAACTTAATCTCCCCTGAGAGTAACCAAGGATACCTTGCAAGGGGTCAAGATAGACAGTTCTGGGAACAGGCACTTACTCATAGGGATGGGTCATTGTTGCACTGCCAGGTGCTGCCAAGTGTAGAGATCGTGCTAGCTGCCTTTCCAGACCTCTTGAGAGTAGTGTAGAAAACTCTTCTGGGGTGTCCCTCACCTGCTGCAGCCCCACTCCACCCAAGGGGGCAGCATCAGGGCAGGGCAGTGGAGGGGCAAGTCATGGTTAAATGGGAGAGAATGAGACAGAAATTAACATCATTAAATATTTACTATTCACATCCAAGTAGAAAGGGGAAAGAAATAAGTTGAAAACTTGTTTTCTTTAGGGAAAAATGTTAAAGCATTGGAATATTTGGAGTTGGGGAGAACGACGCTTTCAGAGATAGAAGAGCAAGAACTTCTATATTAAAAAGCTTCATAAAGCCACCTTGTTCATCATTTTACACACAAAGAGAGAGAGGGGGGGAGGGAGGGAGAGAGAGAGAAAGAGGGAGGGACGGGGAGGGAGAAAGAAAGAGAGGGAGGGAGGGAGGGAGGGAGGGAGAGAGAGAGAGAGAGAGAGAGAGGGAGGGAGGGAGGGAGGGAGAGAGCGCATTCATTATTGGAAAAGGATCTATCAGTCTACACTGAATCTAAAAGTTCCAGATGATTTTCATAAAGTTATCACTGATTGAACCCAAAAGTGCTAATGGAAGTTTGCTGCCTGATCAGAGGCTTAAACATCTATGACAGGGAAAAGCAGCATGTGGAAGAAATGGTTTTGGAGATAATTGAAGAACAACCTAGTGTGAAGGGCTAGTCTGAGCATCGCTCCACAGTATTTTGTGCTAATGAAGATCTTGGTCATCCCAGCCTTCTCTTTCTCTTCCTTCTGTCAGAAGCTGACTCTCCCTGCTGCTGGGAGAGGCTCTTTTGATCCTTCATGTTCTTTCATTCTGCTAACTGTTTTCAGCAGAATAAATACAAAATACCTGGGCCCAAAGGCTATGTTCTTCCTACACTTATTCCCTTAATTGCCTGATAACAATTCCCTCTATGCATCAATTTCAGCACTAACTCCACAATTTAAAAAATTCTGTTGCCTTGAGATTGGGAGCAGGATGCCCACAAAGGTCTTCCAACAGAGATCATGGTCAGAGATGTCCTATTGAATCTTGCACTGAGCAGAGTATTTCTAAAGCCTATTAGATCTATGGTTTTATTATTTATACAACAAAGGTTTTTTTTTTTAAAAAAAGAAAAACAAACAGGCTAGAATGTTTTCAAAAGAGGGAAGCATGGGGACTTGCTATTCATCAGTAGAAAGAACATTCTAAGAATAGAGCTCAAGAGAGCCAGTCTGGTGTAGTGGTTAAGGCATCAGGCTACAATCCAGGGAGCTGAGAGTTCTAATCCCACCTGAGGCAGAAAGCCAGCTGCGTGATCTTAGGCCAGTCACTCTTTCTCAGCTCTAGGAAGAAGGCAATGGCAAACCACTTCTAAAAAACCTTGCCATGAATACTGCAATTACTTGCCAAGACAATCGTTAGGAATCAAAAGGCTGACTCCAAGGCACACACACACAAAAAGGGAAGGAGGCAGAATTTAGGAATAGCTGAATGGAAAAAAAGCAAAAAGCCTAAGATGCTCCATAAGGATAGATGATCAGAATTCACTAGAGCACAGGGATTACAAGAGCTCTTCTGGACAATATGGTAGAAATCAAGTTTCTCTGAAAGATTAAGTGGGAGCCTTGTACAAGAAAATACCAAAACACATGCAATCATATTTTTGTTCATTCACAGAGTTGTTGTTTAAAAGCTTACAATCCTTAATGTGATTGTCCACTTTAAAGCTCAAAACAGATGACTAGCCTCCTGTGTGACTGTTGGCATTTATTTGTGAATAGTGAGATTCATCGAGTTTTAGATATGTCCCTGTGACAAAACAGTGGTCCCACTGCAGAGGAACAATGGCTGCTCAGTCTTTCCCCAGAGATCTGTGCAGTGATGTGACAGCAGCACCTGGTTTTCATTAGCAATTTATGATGGGCATCCAAACATGAGCCATTTGACTTTCTAGCTTTTCCCTCTTTGAGTTCCCTTAATGCTCCCTCATTTTCCCTTCTGATGCCTAATCTGGAAGAGTTTTACATTTGTTAATTCAATCTGTATGGCCGCTCAACTCAAACAAGTGAGTCCAGATGGCAATGCTCCCTTAAAACCTCACTGGTGTCTGAAGAGAAGAAGGTGGGCTGGGAGAGGATCAGCCCCAACCTCAGATGCCGGCATCTCAGTTGAGCCTCCTGTTCATGATTGCCCTGCCTGGCACAAGGCCTAACAGCTAGATTAAATTTCCAGTTTAAATTCCCCATATCTTTGAAAATAGGATTTTCAGGAGAACAGAAGGAAATTTAAATGGCAGCTGGACCAACTTGTCCTCTTCTTGTCCCATAAATTGCTATGTAAACGCATTGAAGAGGTAGAAGAAGCCCACTAAAAGGCATTTTGCCTATTGCATCCTCAAATATGGTGCTAGCTGTGCACGTGTATGTGTGGGTAGGTGTTTTTGATTAAAGAGAAAACTGAAGAAGAAGAGGAAACATGCAACAGTGCATCAGGAATATCTCTTACCTGAGCCACACTTAATTTGTTAAGGGAACTGTCAACACAGGGCAACAATCCCAAGACTGGAACACTGGGTAGATTTTCAGGTGGAGAAACTTCCTTGGCTGAGGATACAGGGCTTTGGAAATTGTTAACCACACATGTCACCTATCCAACAAAGAGAAGAAGAGCAGCATTAAAGGGCTCTTTTCCTGATTTCTGCCAACATAGTACTCTGCATCAGAAGGAACATTCAACGGAGCTTTGCAACCATTAACATAGTCTTTTATTTGGCCTTTCCCAATCCTTTTGCCAACTGCTTCTTGATCAATCCCCAATTTTTCTTCATTGACCTCTTTGTCTTGTTATGAGCATAAGCCATTAGGTCAGGACTCACTTTGGTATTCACTAGTATGGAGTGAATAGCTGGGCATAACAGAGGAACCACGAGCTGCCTTTTTATTGAAATGCAAAAAGGAATGAGGGCAGGATGTTCATCTGAGCAGAGGGAAGTGATTGGTTGAACCTCTCAGCCATACGAAAGGGGGTAAAAAGTTATCTTGTGTTTTAGTAGGAACCAAGCTAGTTTACATTTCTATTACCCCAACTCAGAATAGCCACTTCTCTGAACTGTATTATGCTGTTCTCTGTAAATAAAATTTCAGTTTGTTTACTATGCACAAATGTATATAAAGAAAATTGCTTACAAATATGAAAAAAAATAGAGAAAAGTATTTGAAATATATATACACCACAGAAAATGTCTATAGTACAAACTTTAAGGGCTGTGAGACAGAGTCCTTGTGTGCTTTAAAGACTGCACAGAGTCCTCAGTTCCCATCTCACCTCTTGAGGAAAAGATAGATATTTTTTCTTCTGCAGAAGAGGAGGAGGAAGAGGAAGAGAGCAAGGTCAAAGAGATGTTTGGAAAAAAGAGCTATACCACTCAATATTTTGTTGTTAGTTGCGAAGTCGTGTCCGACCCATCACAACCCCATGGACAATGATAGCTTTAGTCAAATAAGAAATGGCCCCATTCATGTCTGCATTTGGGAAAATTATAACACAGTCATCAACACATCACAAACTAATGCAATAATATATTATGTATTCAAGATGTATATTGGTTAATATTTATATGTATTTATATATTAGGGTGTAGGTATATACATATGTATATATATAGCGTATCTATATGTGTGTTATGTATATATACACTTTTGAGAGCAGGCAACAGAATTTCATTTTTAATGTGTGCCAGAGTGCCCACAGGAAAAAAAATGACAATAAAAGTTATCTTATAAGGTAAGCTGCCCCTCAAGATTATCTTCCCTTAGAATAGCATCACTGGCGTGGTCTTTAAGTTTTAGCCCTTTGGTGCTGATAAAGGAATAGTTTTAGAAACTGCCTGATGACACACTGTATTTAAAAAGGGGGCTCTACCCTGCAAAACCTGGTAAAAAAGCTCCAAAAACAGCACTGCCACTATATAAAAGTTAAAAGAAGCAAAAAAAATAGTAAGAGAACACCTGTCTGATCTTGACGAATACAAATCACCAGGACCTGATGGATTATATCCCAGAATGCTAAATGAGCTGGCAGATGTCATCTCAGAACCACTGTACCACATCTTTCAAAAATCCTGGAGCACCGGGGAATTACCACAGGACTGGAAAAGAGCTGATGTAGTTCCCATCCTTTAAAAATGGGGAAAAAACAGACCCAGGAAACTACAGACCAATCAGCCTAATGTCAATACCCAGGAAAATATTGGAAAAGATAATAAAAAAACAGATCTGCCAACCTCTAGAAATGAGTAAAGTAACAACTAGCAGTCAGCATGGGTTTGTTAAAAACAGATCATGCCAAACCAATCTTATTCCATTCTTCAACATAATGACTAAATTAGAAGTCCAGCAAAATACCGTGGGCATAATATACTTAGCAGTAGTGGGTTCCAGTTACCTTTGCTACTGATTCAGAATTGGGAGCGTGCTTGTGCGTGGTGCTTCTGTGCATGCGCAGAACCTTCAGCGCATGGCAGAGCATCCATGATGATGTCCGGGCAGGTGGGCAGAGCCTCCCACCGCCACCACTACTGGTTCGCCCAAAACCCACCACTGATACTTAGACTTCAGCTAGGGATTCGACAAAGTAGACCACAACCTACTTCTTGGTAACCTAGGAAAAGGTGGGATAGATAGCATCACCACAATTTGGATTTGTAACTGGCTGACAAACAATACTAATGAGTAGTCCTTAATGGGTCTATGTCTACATAGAGGGAAGTAAGCAGTGGGGTACCACAAGGTTCCATCTTAAACCCAGTACTCTTCAATATCTTCATAAACGACTTAGATGAGGGAATAGAAGGGGAACTCACCAAATTTGCAGATGATACTAAACTGGCAGGAATAGCTAACACCCTAGAAGATAGGCTCAAGATCCAGATGGATCTTGACAGACTTGAACACTGGACCCTATCTAACAAAATGAAATTCAATGTAGAGAAAAGTAATGTCTTACACTTAGGCAAGAAAAACCAAAAGTACACATATAGATTAGCTGAAACCAGGCTCAATATCAGTAACTGTCAGAGTGATCTTGGAGTCTTAGTGGACAACCAGCTAAATATAAGCCAGCAGTGTGCAGCAGCAGCCAAAAAAGCCAATGCAATCCTAAACTGCATTATTATTATTATTATTATTATTATTATTATTATTATTATTATTATTAATTATTATTTATTTGATTAGTATACCGCCCTACTCCCGGAGGACTCAGGGCGGTGAACAGCCAAACAATAAAATACATAGATACAAAAAATTTAAAAACCAGATAAAATCGAATTAAATAGTTTTGGCCCTGACAAATTAAAACACCCCAATAATTTAAAACAAATTAAAATTTACATATTAAAAAAGAGGGAAAGGATTAGGCCAAGCCCGCCTGGTGGAATAAAAAGGTCTTCACAGCGCGGCAGAAGGTGCGCAGGTCCGGGATCCTTCGTATCTCGGGGGGGAGCTCATTCCAGACAGTAGGTGCCCCCACAGAGAAGGCCCTCCCCCTAGGGGCCGCCAGTCAACATTGTTTGGCTGACGGCACCCGGAGGAGTCCCTCTCTATGAGAGCGTACCGGCTGGTGGGAGGCTGTTTGTGGTAGTAGGTGGTGCCGTAAATAACCAGGTCCTAAGTCATGGAGCGCTCTAAAGGTGGTGACCAAAACCTTGAAGCGCACCCGGAAGACCACCGGGAGCCAATGCAGTTCGCGCAGGAGGGGTGTCACATGGGAGCGCCATGTTGCTCCCATAACCACCCGCGCGGCCGCACTCTGCGCCAGTTGGAGCCTCCGGGTGCTCCTCAAGGGGAGCCCCATGTAGAGAGCGTTACAATAGTCCAGGCGGGAAGTGACGAGGGCATGAGTGACTGTGTGTAGGGAGTCCCGATCCAGAAAGGGACGCAACTGGCGAATCAGGCGAACCTGATGAAAAATCCTCCTGGTCACGGCTGTCAAATGCTCTTCTAAAGACAGCCGTGAGTCCAGGAGGACGCCCAAGTTGCGAGCCCTCTCCGTGGGGGCCAATGATTCGCCCCCAATAGTCAGCGATGGCGTCAACTGACTATATCGGGACGTCGGAAACCACAGCCACTCGGTCTTGGATGGGTTGAGTCTGAGCCTGTTCCTCCCCATCCAGATCCACACAGCCTCCAGACACTGGGACATCACTTCAAGGGCATCGTTGGGGTGGTCTGGGGTGGAGATGTACAGCTGGGTATCATCAGCGTACTGGTGGTACTTCACCCGAAACCACGGATGATCTCACCCAGCGGCTTTACATAAATGTTGAACAAAAGGGGCGAGAGGACCGACCCTTGTGGCACCCCACATATAAGGGGCCTTGGGGTCGACCTCTGACCCCCTGCCAACACAGACTGCAACCGGTCAGAGAGAAAGGAGGAGAACCACCGCAGTACAGTGCCCCCCACCCGTAACTCTTCCAACCGGTGCAGCATGATACCATGGTTGATGGTATCAAAAGCCGCTGAGAGGTCTAACAGGACCAGGACAGAGGAGCACCCCCTGTCCCGAGCCCTCCAGAGATCATCTACCAACGCGACCAATGCCGTTTCTGTGCTGTACCCGGGCCTGAAGCCCGACTGGAACGGATCCAGATACGTCGTTTCATCCAGGTGCTGGGGGAGCTGTTGCGCAACCACACTCTTGACAACCTTCGCCACAAAACGAAGGTTGGAGACCGGACGATAATTAACCAACATTGCCGGGTCCAGGGAAGGCTTCTTGAGGAGAGGCCTCACCACCGCCTCTTTCAAGGTGGCAGGAAAGTCACCCTCACCCAACGAAGCATGAACGAAGGGATATAATCAAGTTCAAGTGAAGTACTCTATAAAGGCTTAGTAAGACCACACCTAGAATACTGCATCCAGTTTTGGTCACCACACTATAAAAAAGATGTTGAGACTCTAGAAAAAGTGCCGAAAAGAGCAACCAGGATGATTAGGGGACTGGAGACTAAAAGATGAAGAACGGTTACAGGAACTCGGCATAGTTAGTCTAGTGAAGAGAAGGACCAGGGGAGACATGATAGCAGTGTTCCAATATTTGAGGGGCTGCCACAGAGAGGAAAGGGTCAATCTATTTTCCAAAGTACTTGAAGGCCAGACAAGGAATAATGGATGGAAACTGACCAAGGAGAGATTCAACCTAGAAATAACGAGAAATTTTTTGACACTGAGAATAATCAACCAATGGAGCAGTTTACCTTCAGAAGTTGTGGGAGCTTCATCACTGGAGGCTTTCAGGCATAGATTGGACTGCCATTTGTTGGAAATGGTATAGACTCTCCTGCTTGGGCAGGGGGTTGGACTAGATGACCTACAAGGTCCCTTCCATCTCATCTCATCTCATCTCATCTCATCTCATCTATATGACTGGAACGGCTTCTCCTTCCCAGAATAGTCCTGATGGTGGCTGAACGCTGAGAAGGAAGCCCTACCCTTTTCCCTCCCTTGAAGAGGCTGAGCAGTCAAGAAGCCCCCAAATACAGAACACTTACCAGAAAGATGGCAATAGCCCCACCAGTGAGGAACCCAGCCAGCACATCAGACCAATGGTTCCGGTACTCGGCCACACGCACCACACCCACCAAGAATGCTGGGCCGAGGAGTGCCAGGCACAGGGATGGCTTAGCCAAGCGGGAGCCCTTCAGCTGAAAAACCAGCGTGACATACATCTGTGGAAATGGAAGAACAGCATAGGAGAGTTAGCTGAAATGCCCTTCATTTTCCTTGAAAAGTGCTCAAAATAGTGCACAGCATAACCATGCATATATAACCAAGGTGCAACTTTTTTTAAAATAAGGAAAAAAGGCAGGCAGAAGACCACCCAATCTGGTATAGTGGTTAAAGCATCAGGATAAAAACTGGGATACTGTGAGTTCCAGTCCTGCCTGAGGCATGATGCCAGCTGGGTGAGCTGGGTCAATCCCTCTTCCTTAGCCCTAGAAAGGAGGCAAAGGCAAACTACTTTTGAAGTTTTCAAATGGCAAAAGCAAACTACTTTTGAAAACCAGTTTGAGGTGGCCCAACTGAGAAGTGACCCAGCTGTGAGGCGGCCCAGTGTCCTGGCTGTGAGGTGGCGCATCTGAGAGATGAAGAGACAGCCCGGGGGCCCATCTGAGAGATTGAGAGGCGGCCCAGCAATCCGGCCTGGCAGCTGAGCGGAGGTGGTGAGTTGCAAACGGAGGCCACGGAGCAGCAGTGAAATGGAACTAGGTGGCAACAGACCAGTGGCTGAGAGCAGGACGCTGGACCCTGAGCAGCAGCTTGCAGAGCTAAGTAGCAGAGGAGTAGAGTGCCCAGAGCAATGGCAGACCAGCAGTGGCTGAGAACAGTGCAGCAGATCAACTGAACAGTAGCGGTGCGGAGCTAAGTATGGCAGTAGGCTGCCCACAGCAGTGACTAAAAGCAGCACGGTGGACCAGCAGTGGCTGAAAGCAGCACAGCTGAGTAACTGAGCAGTGGTTAAGTGGAGTAGAACACCCAGATCAGCACATCATACCTGAAAACCCATGTAGCCATGTAACCAAAGGGCAAGAAGGCAGGGAGGAAAAGGATAAATACATAACACTTGTGGACAGGAAGGAAAGGGATAAACTTTCAAGCCAGAGTGTAGAGGGTTAAGAGCTATGGTAAGCATCTCCTAGAAAAAAGCCTGACATTTCCAACCCAAAAAAAAATGCATAACACTTCATAAAAGGCCAAGAAATTTTGAAAATCCTTAAATTTTTAAAATTTCTGAAGTTTTTTTAAAAACAAATTCTTCTGTAAATTTTTAAACTTTCTCTTTTCAATTTTCATTTTTTTCAATTTTTAAATTCTTTTTTCAATTTTTAACCTTTTTCAACTTTTAAATTTCTTTTTAATTTAATTTTAAATTCCATTTTCAATTTTTAAATCTTTGTCCATTTTAAATTTATTTTTTCCTTTTTTAAATAAAATTCATTTTTCAACTTTTAATTTTTTTTCACTTTTTCACTTTCTTTTTTCAAATAAACAATTAAAAACAGTTTACTTATTTTAATTCTTTAGAAATTTTTAAATTCTTAACAGTTGAAGAAAAAAACACAGAAAAAGAGATAGACACTTAAAACAGGCAAGATGAATTTTTTCAACAAAGGGTCAAGGATTTTTGTAGACTATTGTAAATTGACACTTCACAACAGGGAAATATTAATTTTAGAAATTTTTAAATTTTTTAAGAAAAAATCATGGAAATAGAGACTGTCATTATAGTGATTTGCAAAATATGTCATATGTTTTAACGTATGCCCACAGAAGACCCAAACTATATATGTATGAAATGTAAATTATATTAATTACTAGAATAGAATAGAATAGAATAGAATAGAATAGAATAGAATAGAATAGAATAGAATAGAATCTGGAAGGGACCTTGGAGGTCTTCTAGTCCAGCCCCTTGCTCAAGCAGGAGAACCTATACCATTTCAGATAAGTGGCTGTCTAGTCTCTTCTAGTAAAGAGTCTAGAAACAACTCTAGTCACTCTGAAACTCAATGAACAAAGCAAGGAATCCCAAGCTATACAAGAAGACTATACTAAAGTTAAATACAACAGGGAGCAAACAGCTTCTTAAAAAATGATCCTATATATGAACAAAAAGAAGAAAACCAATACACCCAAATTAAACACAATAGGGAACAAAATGAACCTAAAGAGGAAGACCAATGGAAACATGTCACTCTTAAAAGAAAATAACAGCCAAGAGCAAAGCCCCTACTATTGACCCTAGCCCCCTCCAGTGAAGCCCCTCTGGAACTGAACAATTGCTTTTATAGCCTCCCCTGGAAGAAAATATGCAGGCACCCACAAAAGAACATCTATCAATAGTTTCTAAAAAAGAGACACAACCAAGCATTCCTCTGGCAGGAAGAATAGTATCCCACACTTCCCTAGAGGAAAAAAGCTGAATATTGGTGATAGGAGATTCAGTTATTTGGGGAATAGAAACTATAGTCTTCGGACCAAAAGTCAGTCTAGGGAGGTATGCTATCTCCCTAGAGCAAAAATCAAAGATATAATTGAGAACCTTACTAAAATAATCAACCCCATGGATTATTACCTCTTTCTTCTCCTACATTGTGGGGACCACTGACTCAACAATGAATCTAAAAACAGTAACAGAGAAAATAAACAGCTAGGGAAGAAAGTTAAAGAATTAGGAGCTCAAGTGGTGTTTTCATCTATACTTCTAACAAAAGGCCAACATCCAATGAGGGAGCAAAGGATTTTAGAAGCAAACCACTAGCTTAAAAACTGGAGTCGTTTCCTACACCACGGTCTGCATTACCTACATGAAGGGCTACTAGCAAAGGATGAAGTGAACCTCACAAGAACTGGAAAGAATATATTCAGAAAATGACTGGCTCATCTTACCAGAAGGGCTTTAAACTAAAATTGATGGGGGAGGGGACCAATCTTCATGACCGTTAGAACCTAATTCCAAGCAAAAACCAATAGATAACTAATCATATAAGGAGGTAGGGAGTAAAGAGAACAGCTCCTTTGTTTGGCTGCTGCAGAGAAAGGCCCCACTGCTCTCCTCCAGCCCAGGAAGCCTGCACAAGTGCGCATGTGCACATACACACCAAGCTTGGAGACTTTTATCGACATCTGAGCTTGCAAACTGCCAATCATGCCTGGGCTTGGGGAGAAGACCCTCTCCTTCCTGTGTGGATAAAAATTGCCAAACTTGGGATGCAGTGTGTGTGTGTGTGTGTGTGTGTGTGTGTGTGTGTGTGTGCGTGCGCGCGCGTGTGCATACACGCTTGGCTACCAGCAGTTTGGGGGGGCGATGAGCTTGTGGGGCACCAAATTGTCCCCATGTTGAATTAGAGTTAGCTGGTGAGACTTGTTCCATCCCAACCCTACAGTCCCAAGTCACCTGCCCCCAGTGAGCACCCATACCCAACTGGTTACTACCACCCAGTCGCGGCCACGTTTATCCAGTCATGCCCACTGGCTGCTGTAAATCATAGTAGTCTTACATGCAACTGGCCCTTTGAGAGCAACCATAATGCTGATGTGGCTTTCAATGAAATTGAGTTTGACATCCCTGACAAAGGAGAGCAAACCAATCAGGACTAGATTCAGCAGTCCATCTGCATTTAAAAGACAAAGGCCACGCTTTTGAAGACAGCAAAGTCCACATTTTGGACAAAGAAGACTGCTGGTTTGAAAGTGGGCTAAAAGAGGCCATCTATGTCAAAATTGAACAGCTCTCTCTCAATAGAGGGGGAGGGATTAGGCATCATCTAACTCTAGTCTACAACACAGTCCTTTCAACAGTAACAAGAAGGCTCCACACCCATTTGAACTACTCAGGTGACCCTGATGACACAGATAAACCTCCAAGTAACCTCAATGACTCTCTAGAAGAATACAAATGACCAGCTGTCTGCAAGGAATATAGAACCTTACATTCTCAAACATCCAGTCAGAGTTGAAGAAGCTTCTTGGATGAGAAGTGAAACATCTTCAAAGAAAAATAAGAAAGTCCAGTTGCCTCTTGAAAAAGCACCTTTAGAGCTGTTTAACTCATTCTTTACATCAGTCTTCAAGCAAAAAGAAACTATAACCCAACCTACCAAAAAGCTAACCGTAAAAGACAGACTAGAAATAAAAATTAAAATACGCAAGAAAATGGTTAGAGAAATGATTTGATCTTGATGAATATAAAACACCAGGATTACATCCCAGAGTTCTGAAGGAGCTGGCAGATGTTATCTCAGAATCATTTTACCATATCTTTCAAAAATCCTAGAACACCGGGGAATTACCTGAGGATTGGAAAAGAGCTGATATGGTGCCCATTAAAATAAAAGGGGGGGGGGGACACAGACCCAGGAAACTACAGACATCAATACCTAACATCAATACCTAGGAAGATACTGGGAAAGATAATCAGAAAACAGATCTGCAAACATCTAGATAGAGATAAAGTTATAACTAAAAGCCAGCATGAGTTTGTTAAAAACAGATCATGCCAAACCAATCTTATTTCATTCTTTGATAAAGTGACTAAATTTATAGACCAGCAAAATGCATAGTGGACACAGTTGACATAGTATATAGTATTTAGACTTCAGCAAGGCATTTGACAATGTAGAACACAACCTACTTCTTGATAAACTAGAAAAATGTGGGACAGACAGCATTACCACTAGATTTAACTGATTAACAGAGTTGGAAAGGACCTAGTGGGTCATTTAGTCCAACCTCCCACACAAGCAGGAGACCCTACACTATTCTGACAGATGGCAGTCCAGTCTCTTCTTGAAAGCTTCCAGTGATGAAGCTCTCACAATTTCCAAAGGGAAGCTGTTCCATTGATTGATTGTTCTCACTGTCAGAAAATTTCTCCTAATTTCCAGGTTGAATCTCTCCTTGTTCAGGTTCCATCCATTATTCCTTGTCTGGCCTTCAGGTGCTTTGGAAGATACCTTGAGCTCCTCCTCTCTGTGGCAGCCCCTCATATATTGGAAGATTGCTATCATGTCTCCCCTGGTCCTTCTGTTCACTAGACTAGCCATGCCCTTCTAGTGGTGGGTTGCTCCCGGTTCGGGCGAACCGGCAATAGCAGCAGTAGGAGGCTCCGCCCATCCATCCAGATGTCATCAAAAATGCTCTGCACATGCGCAGAAGCATCACACACTTCCAAAGCAAGCATGCACGCACTCACACTACCAATAGCAAACCGGTAGCACTGGGATTTGAAACCCACTACTGCTCTAGTCCCCTAATCATCTTGGTTGCTCTTCTCTGCACTCTTTCTAGAGTCTCAACATCTTTTTTAGAGTGTGGTGACCAAAACTGAATTCTAGGTGTGGTCTTACTAAGGCTTTATAGAGTGGTTTTAGTACCTCACTTGATCTTGATTGTATCCCTCTGTTAATGCAATTTAGGATTGTATTGGCTTTTTTGGCTGCTGCTGCACACTGCTGGCTCATATTTAGCTGGTTGTCCACTAAGACTCCAAGATCCCTCTCACAGTTACTGCTATTAAGCCTGGTTTCACCCAGTCTATATGTGTATATATTTTTTTCTTACCTAAGCGTAAGACTTTACTTTTCTCTACATTGAATTTCATTGTTTTTGCTAGGGCCCAGTGTTCAAGTCTATCAAGATCCATCTGGATCTTGAGCCTATCATCTAGGGTGTTGGCTATTCCTGCCAGCTTAGTGTCATCCACAAATTTGGTAAGTTCCCCTTCTATTCCCTCATCTAAGTCGTTTATGAAGACATTGAAGAGTACTGGGTTTAAGACAGAACCTTGTTGTACCCCACTGCTTACTTCCCTCCATGTAGATGTAGTACCATTAAGGACTATTCACTGAGTATGGTTTGTCAGCCAGTTACAAATCCATCTGATGGTGATATTATCTATTCCACTTTTTTCTAGCTTACCAAGAAGTACATTGTGGTCTACTTTGTCAAATGCCTTGCTGAAATCTAAGTATATTATGTCCACAGTATTTCACTGGTCTACTAATTTAGTCATTATGTTGAAGAATGAAATAAAATTGGTTTGGCATGATCTGTTTTTGACTTACCCATGCTGACTTCTAGTTGTTACTTTACTCGTTTCTAGTTGTTGACAGATACGTTTTTTTATTGTCTTTTCCAATGTCTTCCCAAATATTGATGTTAGGCTGATTGGTCTATAGCAGTGATGGAGAACCTTTTTGGCACCGAGTGCTGAAAAGGGAATGCATGCACGGGGGGGGGGGGCACCAAGTGCTGAAAAGGGAGCATATCGCGCATGCTCATCAGGGCCGTGACCTGGAAGAGGAGCTGCCCAGGGGGCATCCACATGCCGGATAAGGTACGTCTGGTTTCTGGCACGCACATGCGCACCAGCCACAAAGTCTTTCAGCTACTGCTGTGCATGCGCACGCACCGATCAGTTGGTGGCCTGCATGCTCACGGCGCACTTGCTCATGTGCATGTGTGTCTGGCCAGATGCTTTCAGCCCGAGAGGAGGAGTCCGCAGTTCTGCATGGGGGGAGGAACTGTTTCTCTTGGACTTTTGAGATGGGAGGGGCCAGAATGAGGGGCAGCACCAATGAGAATTCTCCCTGCCTGAGTGTCATCAGTCTCCAGGCAGAGTCCTCTGGGACTTCACCTGAAGGAGGAGAGACAGTTCTGTGAGAGAGAGAAGCAGAGAAAGTGGGAGGGAGGATCTTGGCCTGAACTTGGGCTTCTTCTCTGCGTGGAACTCTCTCCTCCAATTGGGTGAAGTCAAGGGAGACTCTTCCTGGAGACTGATGACATTGCGGAAGGGAGAATTCCCATTGGTCTTTCTGGATGCTACAATTCCGAAGTTTGAGGAAGCCCCATTCCCGGCTCACAGACCAGCTCTCCCAGTTTCCGGCACTGCCACATGCACAAAGGCCAACTGATCATCGCATGCGCGCCAGAAACCTGGAAGAGGAACAGGCAATGTCACGCAAGCCAGCTGACATGGCTCCACATGCCACTTCGGGCACGCGTGCTATAGGTTCGCCATCACCGGTCTATAGTTTCCTGGGTCTGTTTTTTTCCCTTTTTTGAAAATGGGAACCACATCAGCTCTTTTCCAGTCCTCCGGTAGTTCCCCAATGGGTTTGTAACTGGCTGATGAATTGTACTCAACGAGTGGTCTTTAATGGCACTACAGCTACATGGAGGGAAGTAAGCAGTAGGGTACCACAAGACTCTGTTTTAGGCCCAGTACTCTTCAATATCTTCATAAATGACTTAGATGAGGGAATAGAAGGGGAACTCATCAAACTTCCAGATGACACTAAGCTGGCAGGAATAGCCAACATCCTAGAGCTCAGGATTCCAAAAGATCTTGACAGACTTGAACAATGGGTCCTATCCAGCAACATGAAATTTAATGTGGAGAAAAGCAAGGTTTTACACCTAGGCAGGAAAAACCAAAGTTACAAGTATAAAAAAGCTAGTAATCCTTGGTTATATAAACAGAGGCATAAAATCAAAATCACGTGAAGTATTATAAAGCCTTGGTAAGGTTACACCTGAAATATTGCAACCAATTTTGGTCACCACATTACAAAAAGGGTGTTGAGACTTTGGAAAAAGTGTAAAGAAGATCAACTAAGATAATTAAAGGCCTAGAAACTAAAACATATGAAGAATGGTTGCAGGATTTGGGTTTGGCAAGTCTAAAGAAAAGAAGGACTGGGGAGAGGGGGGGACATGATAGTAGTATTTGAGTATTTGAGACTGCCACAAAGAGGAGGGTGTCAACTTATTTTCCAAAGCACCAGAGGGCAGGATAAGAAACAATGGATGGAAACTAATCAAGGAGTGAAGCAACCTGGAACTGAGGAGAAACTTCCTAACAGTGAGGACAACCAACCAGTGGAACAGCTTGCCTTGAAAAGTGGTGGGTGCTTCATCACTGGAGGTTTTTAAGAAGAGCCTGGACAGCCACTTGTTTGGTACAGGGTCTCCTGCTTGAGTAGGGGGTTGGACTAGAAAACCTCCAAGGTCCCTTCCAGCTCTATTGTATTCAGTTCAGTTAAAGTCTTGTCAAGAAAACTGCAAGGACTTGTCCAGGCAGTCACCAGATTTATATAAAGTCTCTCATAGATTACCAAAAGAGGACACCTCCTTCTCCTTGTTTCCCAACAACTCTCCACTTTCCTCAGAGAAATCCTTATCAAAACCTCCTACTTTGAATTTATGTTCCCTGCTGACACTGCTAAATTCAAATTCAGGGACCATCTTTTTTTTTTTTAATTTAATTTATATGCCGCCCTTCTCCGAAGACTCAGGGCGGCTTTACAATGTGCTAAGCAATAGCCTTCATCCTTTTGTATATTTATACAAAGTCAGCTTATTGCCCCCACAACTGGGTCCTCAATTTACCTACCTTAGAAAGGATGAAAAGCTGAGTCAACCTTGAGCCTGGCGAGATTCGAACCTGCAGTAATTGCAGGCAGCTGGTCTTAATAACAGGGTGCTTTAGACCACTGTACTACCAAGGCTCTGGATCTTTCCCTCCATTCCACTTTCCAGATGTAGTAATTAAGCATTACAAGGTGAATAACTACTCCAAGAAACTGTGTGGGGAAAAGAGTTTAGTGCCAGTTCCACCACCTGCATCAGTTGCTTAAAATAGATTTACAGATGCTGTACTCATATTCAGCTGTAGATCCTGATGTACTATGGTATCTAAACACTGCATCTAAACACTGCTAAACAAGCAGTGTATCTAGCTTTCTAGAACAATTGCGTTTCATAGCATTAAATCATTATCTAGTTAGAATGTCTATTTTTAAAAAATAACCTTCAGTGGCATACACCAAGCATTCTTTGTTGTTGTTGTAGACAATGCATTTATTAGTCCAGTGTTTCAGATTCTAAAAATTCTTGTTCTGTCAATGGCATGTGACACTTGCAGCACCCAGTCAGTGTCAGAGAAGCAAAGGGCCAAAAGACAAGAACTCAGCTGGCTGAGAAAGAGGAGAAGCTGGGTTTTCTCCAGTATAACATCAAGGGACCTATTTGGTTTTATTGCCTTCTAATGAGAAATGGACACAGTGAAATCAAAGCTGATCCTTTTTTCTAAGGTGCGCTTGCCATTGATAATTTTTGCTCACAGCAGGCAGCGCTTTGTCACAAAAGATAGTTCCCCCAATCCTGTCCTGGAGAAAAGATCCTGTGAATGTTTCTTTCACACTGTGCCCACTAGAGGGCACTTCAGATTTCTCAAAGGAGCAGTTCATTCCCAAACTTTGACCGCTTCTGTCCCTGTGTATATTGTCAAACCTGGCCTTTACCCACCCGATCTGATACAAATGGGGGTTGAGGCAGGGCATGGGAGAGGAATTGGGTGGTAAATTACTGGAAGAACCCCAAAACTGGGCCCTCCGCCCTCCATCTTTCTGTCTGTCCTGTCACCTAGCTTCCACTTCATACCACAGTGTACGCCACCGCATAGGCGCTGAGGGCAGCGTCCTTGGAGGGGAACGCCTTGCAGGCTGCAGTGACCAGGAGAGGATTGCCAGTGCAGGCTGCTTTGTCTGTGACGTAAATTGTGCCTGGGGGTGGTTGGCAGCCCAGCACAGTGTAGTTTGGTTGGCACACGGACAGGAAATGTGGAGTCTGGTTGCCGGTCACCACTTGGCCTGCATTGGCAAAGATGGTGGTAGTGAAGAGGCCGAAGGAATAAACACCTATGAAAGGAAAAGTACAGGAATGAGAAGGTGGAGCAGAGCCTGGAGACTCAGCTGGGTCTAGGTGGGAGGGGCATTCTCCTCTTACCCAGGAAGCGGATCATGCGGCGCAGAAGGGGATTGAAATAACAGCACTCGCCCGAGGTGATGGTTTTCTCCTTATGCCTTGTGGGTTGGAAGAAGAAGGCAGCCAGTTCTCCAACAAGTATCTGGGATGAGAGAAAGAAAGAATCAAAAAGAGAAATTGTACTTCCTCTTTAATAGCAGTTGTTTAAAGTAAGCTCTGTGAGGAAAAGGCTGGCCAAGGTATTTGCAAAAGGGCTGGAGGACTCCTTCAAGATTCCTTATGTTTCGTTTCATAAATGAAGTAGTGCTAACACTTAGCATGGGGGGAGGGGGGTTTGAGAGGAAGTGACATTATTTTCTAGCCTCCAAAGGTCCAAGAGAGGCCAGCCCAAGCTGAGGGATAAACAGAGTATGCATTTCCATGAGGATAAACATATACACTTCCCCCCCCCTAACATCTGTAACTTAAATGAGTTCTAGGTTTCATATGAGTTTTGTTACCTAAATTTGGGAAGTACTGGCAAAACAGATTGAAAAGCATTCTCATATATTAGAATAGAAACACATGTTTTTTACATGACTCTTGAAAAAAATGTAATTCTTCTGTAGATAGTATCTGTAGCAGTTCAGAGCACAATAGGACTACATCAGTGGGAATTTAGTTCAAAACAAATCATAATTTTATTTCCGTTTTCTCTTTGGTCACTAAGGTATTCCCAAGTGCTAATGAAATAAAAGCAGCATAGCAATGCCCACTGTATAGAAAGGGCTGTCAGAGCAAGCAGGGCTCATGCAAGGGACAGAGAAAGGAGATGCAATACAGAAAAGTCCATTCAATGGAGTAAAGTCATTTAGGGAAGCAAAGTGATGCATTGAGTATCTCATTAAAAAAAGGGAGAGTGCTCCTGTCAGATCCGCCCTCTTCATTTTAGTGCTTTGCTGGCATTCTGCCATAAATTGTTGGGGGTCTGGGGCAGGGAGGGGGAAGAGGAAATTGGCATGTAGAGGGTAGAGAAGATCCAAAGGGGTGGTGGTGATGACAGGTTTGAGAGAAGCCAGAGGTGTGAGAACCAGCCTGTTCCAGTCTTCAAGGCCATGGAGCCTGGGGAAGGAATGTGAATTGCACCAAGTGGCACCAAACATCCGAGCAGTTCCCAAAATACCTATACCAAAACACCATTGGATGATGATGGACCAGTCACATAGGAAGGGCTGGGGAGAAGGGAAAATTTTGTAATGCTTTGTGCGGGAACCTCAGTTCTAGCCTGCTTTCGCTGCAACCACTAATTCTTAGTAAAAGAACCTATCACTTCATCGAGGGTCTTTCTTTCCTAGGGACCTAGATGTGGCAAGCTTGACTGGAGTAATAACAGCTGAAGTGCCCAGCTTTTGTGAAGCTGGGCTCAGACATTCTTATTGGAGTTTCTGGTCATTTTTTCCCACACAGGAAAAGGATGGTGAGGAATAAAAAGCAGTTACGTTGCACATCATACTGGTGAAGATATTGGATGGGAGAGACCCATGTTCAGGTATATGTTGAATTATCTGAATTAACACTGCTCTTAATACATCTTGTTTTATGAGAATAAATGGGGAGAGAATTGTGTGCTTTCTCCTGAGCAATTTGGAGGAAAAGCCAGGTAAAAGTGTAACAATTAAAACATTACAGAAACAAATTTGGGTTGGTACATAGGTCATTCTGAAAATACCTATATGAAAGGCAATGCCAATGAAAGCATCTGAGCAGACAGAATATGTGAGTATAATATAATGTGAATATAATCATTCAGATGATTCTAATAGACTGGACATGTCTTGTGAGGCCTCAAATACATCCTCACTCCATTTCCCAACAGAGCTTCAAATATGACGGGATGCCCTCATACTTCTTCCCTCTAGCAGCTCAATGAAATTAATACCACCACAGTGGAGGCCGTATCTATGTTATCATTGCCGAAATATGCCAAGTTCCATTTACCAGACCTTCCTCTTGAGGATTAGATTAGATTAGATAGCTTTATTGATTAGCCTATAGGCCATATCAAAACACAAAATTCGAACACATATTACCAATAAAATCCTATACAAATCATTTAAAATAAGAGTAGGGTAAAATACAATAGTTATAAGATAAGATACAATACCCTTCCTCTTGAGGGTTCTCTCTCCTCTCAAATCCCTTGTGGATCTCTTACCGTGATGGTGGGGACAGCAGTAACAAGAGAGTAGACCAGGACTGGAGGTGCTCGGCTACTGTCCTCTGGCCCAGGATAGGGTTTGGCCAAAGTATTGTCATAGCAGAAGAATCCTTGAAAGTGCACCGGAAAAGTATCTGAATACTCAAAGTGGTAAGCCAGCACCACTGTGCCAGCCATGATCCCCAGCTGGAAAAAGAACAGGATGGCACATCAGGCACCACTAACAGAATAGGAGGCAAGGAGATCTTTCAGATCTCTGGAATCACAGATGGTTGCCACCTGACCATTACTGCATGCAAATTTCTATGCATCTTTTCTTATTCAGAAACCAGGTTGAGGAATAAGAGAGGAACTCAGCTTTCTGGGCCAAAATAAGGCTGCTGTGTGTTCCTCTCCTATATCCCACCACTCCTGATTCCATCCCACTTTTCCCAGACATTCCCCTTTTTGCAATTCACATCTCATAAATGATCCCAGGCCAACTCTCAGGGACTGAGCCCAGAGGAAGTGAGCTGAATGCAGGCTTCCATTTGACAGGGGAGTCGTTTCAGATATGTCTGTTTTCTTCTGTCCATCCACTTTACAGGAAGCATCTGAATGCTCTTCATGGGATGGAAATAAATCTATTTTGCATCTATAAACAATTGTCATGTCCCATTTCCTCATTTTTAAAAATATGTCATGAAAATGTCTAAAAATAAGTAGATGCATTTTCCAAATGGCTAGCCAATCAACGAACACTTGAGGACCTTTCTAGGTTTGCTAAAAACTTGCACAGAAAATTTCGAAAACAGTTCTATTTCAGGGGAAGGTATTCAGATTTGCACCCTTGTTTGTAAGTAGATATAGCCCTCGAAAAGTAGACTAACTAAATTCTTGACTACTCTAACATATTACAGAGCTGAAATGTTCTAGGCCACTAAAAGAAAGGAGGGACACACTAGTAAAACTATGAGATATGGACTGCAAACAGCCAGATGATTAGATGGTGTGAAACAGTTAGGGATTCCAGTATACTCCCCTCTCACAATGACACAGATTTTTCTAATCTTAATCTGCTAATGCTGGCCATCCTGCCCACAATGACCTCCATATGTGGAATATGGAATACTGAAGACTAGTCTTCTACAAAGAAGAGATCCATCCAAGCAATGATGTGACATACCCAAGCAGCTTTTCTTGTAATATGGCAGATGCATTGGGCAATTTTGCTTTAAGTTTTACTGAGCAGCTTCCAGGAACACTAGCAAAATGACTTTTGGTTCCAAGTCTTGAAAGAACAATCCCTGCAAAATGCAAACTCTGTATCTCACTACTACTCTTACAACCCTAAACTGAACTGGCTACAGTATTTGAGTGTGAACAACTCCTTCCTAGGCTCAGTGGCTAAGACACTGAGCTTGTCGATCAGAAATGTCAGCAGTTCGGCAATTCAAATCCCTAGTACAGGTCTTCTGTGTGAGCAGGGGGTTGGACTAGATGACCTCCAAGGTCCCTTCCAACTATGTTACTGTGAGAATGGCAGTGTGTGTGAGTGTGTGTGTGTGTGTGAGAGAGAGAGACAGAGACAGAGACAGGGAACTTGTTGGTCAAATTCCCTGGTTTTCTTACCTCCACAAACACAAAACAAGGTATAATGGTTATGCTTCTCTTAAGCTCCTGCTTTCCACCAGCCATAGCCATTAGGCCTGGATACTTCTGCAAGAAAGAACATGATTTATGGGGGGGGGGATCCTCTAACACCCCTCTGCTGTGAACATTCTAAAGAAAACCCCAAGAAGTTGTGCTCTATTTTAGGTAAGCATAACTCTTCCCTACAGGATCCCCAATATTTCCAAACACTCATATCATCATATTTTAAGGCAGATGTGTTCAAACTGGATTGTGTCCTGAGCCCCCTAAAACAATAAGTGAACATATGTGCTCTCTCAAGAATTACTTCCCTAGGATTAAGTTGGGGCAGGGAATAAATACCATGGTTTATTTTTAATGATTACATTTTAATCTAAATATCAAAGGTGTTTGTGGTTACAGTACTGCTTTGCCCACTTTGGCCTTTGACAGGAAAATTAGTAGCAAAGACCACAGAACATTTTGACAGAGCTAACATTGTGCCTCCAAATGCCTGTTCAGTTTTTTAAAAAAACCTGTGACTCCCAATCGCTTGTGACATTCTCCTCCTTCCCCCAGAAGTCCTACAGTTTGAGAATAGTTGCTTTAAGGTCAAGCAACAACTATGATATTCTATATGAAAACTACCTGACCAAAGCATCTCCTCTTTTGGAGTCCAGGTGCTCAGGTTTAGCAAAGTCACCCTACCTTGTCAAGTACCTCGTGTAAAGTATAAAGTCGTTCTAACAACTCAAGGAGGATATGGCATCTACAAGAGAACAAAATAATAATGCCCCTTAGTTTTTTTAAAAAAAAATTATGCTGATATACAATACACGTAGTTTTCGACTTATGACCACAACTGAGCCCCAAATTTCTGTTGCTAACTGAAACATTTGTTAAGTCAATTTTGCCCCCTTTTACAATCTTTCCTACCACATTTGTTAAGTGAATCATTGCAGTTGTTAAGTTAGTAACACAGTTGTTAAGTGAATCTGGCTTCCCCATTGACTTTGCTTGTCAGAAAATTACAAAAGATTAGCACATGACCCTGGGACACTGCAACCATCATAAGTATGAACCAGTTGTCAAGCATCTGAATTTCAATCACGTGACTATAGGGATGCTGCAATGGTTGTAAGTGAAAAATGGTCATAAGCCACTTTTTTCAGTGGTGTTTGAATGGTCATTAAACAAGCTGTTGTAAATTGAAGATTATCTGGGGGAAATTAATATTTTAAAATACTTTTTTGAAAAAGCAATACATAGACTGTATTTTTTTTCAAAGCTACCTTCCTGCCTTCAAATTTCTTCTTCTCCTAAAATTATATTGTAGAAACCTTGTGCACATGTTACTGTGAGCATGGATCAATGCAGGGTTTTCTTCTGAGTGAATATGCATTTTAATATCTAATGTACAAAACCAAACCATAAAGGTTCCAGGATCCAGCTAGCCAGCCAGCCAGCCTCTGATTCTGAGGAGTCGGGGGAAAAGACAAACTAAAGTAGGTATTTTAAACTTCTCTCTCTGAGGGTGCTGAATTTTACTTTGGCTATGAGAAGAATGTATGGATGTATATCCCGGAATATGACCATTTCTGTGAATTAATGGAATCAAAGCAGGATGCAGCTCAAGAATTTGATAAGTAGTTCAAAGCAGAGAACAGACATTTTGCAGTCTGTAGAAAGAACTGAGCAAACTTTTATCATGGCAGAGAATTTGGACTCCTTCCAAAATCTAAGAGGAACTTTTATAAGAGGAACTTTTGCTACAGGACTATTGAATATGTTTAAGTTCTACCTGCAAAAGGGAGCCCAGAAAAATACAGTCACCGCAGACACATTGATTGACCAAATCCACCATAAATAGAAGGCTGGGTGTTGTCCCATCGGTGGTCACTGCAGTGGCTTCCCATTCTTCAGACCAATTTAGTGGAACTGGAATAAATCTACCAGACTCAGTGGTCTAGCCAAACCCGTAAAGGATTGTGTTGCATATTCACTTAAGATTGTAGTCTTGTTAAAAAACACAAGCATGCCTAGGAATCCAGAAGCTCCAACTGTTTTCCCCGCCAGCAGGAGTATGTTTTGATGCAAATTTCATCATAGTAAGATGTTACATAATCACTGATCCAACCATGTTAAGAGTATTAATTAAAAATAAATACTGTGAAAATTTGCTCATATTCAAGTAGCAGAAATAAAAACGGAATTTTACAGTCAATTTGTAGAGGCATTACTTAGTTATGCTTTTTTGTACAAATGTCAATGCAATAGAAAATTATACTGCTTTATCTTCACATATAATAAGAAAAAAGATATGTCTTTACTTAGTCACATTCCCCCACTCTTTCTCCTAATCTCTTACTTCTCCTTGCAACATATCCCTCTCTGGCCAAAGAACTGGAAAATCTGAATGCCCTACTTAGAAAGAAGCATGCAAACTCAACTTCAAACAACGTTAATACATGTTAATACTGCATCTTGTACTGCTTTATGCTATTTATTCTGAGCAGAGAATCAGGATTCTTGTGTAAATAGTGCACAATTTGGATGAGAACCTGTAGCAGAGAATAATGATCACTCTACATAAATGCACAAGGATTCAAAACTCTCTTCCCGCAGTATAGAGGAGGGTTGGGGGCTGACTGCTTTCTCCCCCTTCCTCTTTGCATGATTGCTGCTTCCTCCAGCAGAGATTGGAACCCTGCAAGAGAGAGTCATGCTGCTCATGGGGCTAGTCCAACTTCTCTAGCACTGTAACCAGTGTTGTAAGAATCCAGCTACAAGATCTATGGGCTGCCTGCCCCCTTTGGCAAGTGACCCACATCCATGGCAGCTCATCAACCCTCTGAGCCCAGCTGAAGTAAAGTGGTATCGTCTGCCTCCGTGGTTTCGCCAATGGCATCAGTGACCATTTTGCTGCAAATAGCAATCAGGACAGCAAGAGTGTGTACATGTGTAGGCATGTGTGTGCGGTGAATTGATACATTCAGCATTCTAAGAGTGTAGCTTAGCAACACAGTCTTTTAAAACATGTATGCGCGCGTGCACACACACACACACACACACACACACACACACACACACACACAGGACTGCAGTTGTCAAAACTGTAATAATGCTAGTATGAATGGAAAAGCAACAATGGAGAACCTAGACAGATATTGCAAGCTACCAGGAAAATCCCCTCCAGGAAAATCCCCCCACAGCCCAGCCGTTACATCTCTCACCTTCTGTCTGTAGGAGTGGCTTTTTAGGCAGCAGCCATGGCTTCCTCGGCCCACCTCAGTTCTTGTCTCCTCCTCTTTCTCTTCGGTAAGCAATTTTAACAGTCTGCCAGATGGAGCAAGGAATCCACGCTGATCACGCCAATATCGTAATTAGACCCTGGGTTGCTGGATGAAACGTTATTTTGCATTAGCAGCTGGAGTGAGGGAGAGAGAGAGGAGTGCCACACATACATATGAATGCACACACGCGGGCACACACACACAAAGGGAGGAGATAGAGGGAAGGAGAATGCTTCAAGAGGGGATATTCAATGAAATGCTGGCTGTGTCTCTTCTGGGTCAGATGGGTGAGAGTTGCACAATCAAGAAGGCTCAGCTAAAATCAATAAATCAAAGCTTCACTTCCAATTCTAAACAAGCCAGCTTTGTTGTTGCTTGTTTGAATTGAGCTTCCCTGTAATATACTCATATAACTCTATTTCTACCAATGATTAATACTACAGGAAAAATGAAGCACCAACAATCCAAATTTGTTGCCAAATGTGCTTTAACAATTATTGAGTGCACACATTTCAAACTCACAGTCATATTATACAGAAAAACATGAATTACTAGTTACAGAAAATATAATTCAGAGGTAACACTAACTTATTGAAATAAGTATAAGAAGAAAGAAATTTGGCTTGCATTTTTCTGTCAATTTTATCAGGAAAGATCTTTTATAAAATTGCTTGAAAGATCCTTGTGCAATTTCAGACATTTTTATTTCCCTCTATTTACTTTTGCTACAGTAAAAGCAAGAGTTTGGTTGCTTTGTTGCAGAGGGAAATGGAAATATGGTGATCGTACTGTCAAAAACATCAATAGCATATGGCATTTAAAAGCCATCTGGGGAGAGCAAGTGATGGTCCCTGAGCCCTCTTTTTGTGGCCCTCAAACCCCTTTGTACCTCCCTCAAGGGGGAAATTCATGAATACTGCAGCACAAGCCCTAAAATAGCAAAAACAATAGCAGACTTATATACCATCCGATAGTGTTTACAGCACTCTCTGAGCAGTTTACAAAATCAGTATATTGCCCCCAAAAATCTGGGTCCAACCTTCAAGCCATGGTGGGTTGCCCCCAGTTCGCACCGGTTCTATAGAACCGGTAGTAAAACTGGCAGGAGACTCCACCCACTGACCCCAACGTTATCAAAATGCTTGCGCATGCACGAGCAATACGAGCGTGCGTGCATGGCCCCATTGCAAACCAGTAGTAAAGGTAAGTAGAACCCACCCCTGCCTTCAAGCATAATTCAGTTTGAAACTCAGAAAGTTTCCTCCACTGCCCATGTGAGGCATCCTCTTCACTCTTCAGCCTCCCAGTCCCCACCCCCATTCCATGAAAAATGTGGCCTTGGTTATCAAAACCGTTGTGCACTTATTTGCTCAGTTTACTTCAATTATACTGGGGAAAAGCTCTACCATTCTCTAGCACTTTTACCCCATGTAGAAGCAAGCGATAAAACAATGGCAGCCAAGTGCCCTCTGTCCATGGAATGTGGTGGCGGAATCACTTACAGCAACCAAGCCAAGACTGAGGGGTGGAAGGGATCAGAGTGACAACTTTTCTCTCCCCAAATCATAAGCCTTGCAGCCCTTGCATGGCCCCTGTGCCTGCCTTGGCACAGCTGTTGGTAGCTTTATAGCTGCCACTGCCTATCTCTATGGGCAGCGGTGAAAGACACAAAAGAAAAGTGAAGGCACCACATGGTATGAACTTCTGAATATATACTGTATATGCCATAAGGCTTGTGTCAACTCGAAAAGCATCCCTGGCCTGCTCTTGAGTTGTCATAAGCAAGGGGGGATGGGAAACCAATGAAACGGCATGGCAGCCAAAGGCAGATGTACATTCCAGACTTATCTCTCTCAAGGCTGTATCCCAGGTTTACCCACAGCGGCCGGAGGGGAGTGGTCTCTACAACCCGTGAAATTGCTCCGTTGGCGAATGTGATTGATGACACATCCTGGGGGGGGGGAAACAGGGTCATGATTGGGGCATAAATTACATAGGGTCAGAGCTGGCTTCACTTGGGAACGTGCCAATATGAAGCTCCTAATAAATAACTGGATTTCTTTTGAAGTTTGACTCGAGGCTCATGATTTAATTAAGGCATCCTGACAGCTTGGTTTTCTCCCTGACCTCAGACTTAACTTCTAGTCATTGACACAGAATCATTCTGAAGAAACTCAAATTAAGTGGAACAGTTTGGATATTATTTACTGGTTGTCCCCGGTTCACTTTTAGAGCACGTGAGAGAAGGAGTACAGCTAAGCCATGCCTCAGGGCTAATTTTCAGGCCTTCCTCTCTTTTCTCCAGCCCTTCCTCTCTTTTCCCCAGCCCCTCAGCATTGTCATCCTCCTCTTTAGCTTCTTTCCTCTTGAGCTTCCCCTGCTTCAACCAACCAACTGCTTCATCTGCCAAGGTTCAGTAGTACCCACTCCAGAGATGGACTCAGCCCCCTCACAGGCCAAGCCAGGCATCTCAAGGAAGCAATCAGCTGAAGTCAGAGGTGGTGAGAGATAAGGAAGGTGGTATTTTTCTTAGCAACAAAGGAAACACAGGTATGGTTTGAACAGCATCTACAATAGAAGCTCGTAAACAGAAAAGGAAAAGGCACCTACAAAGGATGCCAATTCCCCCTGCCCCCAATTTGCCTTGGGAATTGTTCAGTAGACAGCTGTTGCTGCAGAATCTCCTGGACTCTACCAACACTGATACTGGACCTAGAAGACATGCAGGGAGAGAAGGACACAGCTTTTAATAAGATAATTTAATTACAGATCGTAGAAAAGCCTTTTGTACGAAGAACACCAGCAACTGCTAGACATTTGTTTAGACATATGTCCAGTCCATCCAAGGTTCTACTCTTCCGTCTCTTTCTCCTGCTTTGTGTAGCTTGTGTGAAAGACAACTCATTTTTCAGCAGAGGAAACAGTTGATCATTATTGTTGTAATCAAACAATTGGGTCTCAAGTGCCATTTTGGGTTGAATTGGGGGTAAAACCCACATAGGAATACAAATAAAAACACAAGGCTCAGTCTTTCCTACCCCAAGAAATAATTCAGAGTTGATAGCTGAAACATTTCATTAAGACAACTTCCAGGTATACATGACAGTATTTTAATAACAATCCAAGCATGGTGGATCCAAAGTTCTTCAAAGATGTTCAGAATGTAATTTAACAATGCATTAACGTATTTCAAACTTACCTTCCTTCATCAAAGAAAGATTATTCAACCAATGCAAGAGCATAAACAAAGCATTTGAACTATTGTACCTTCACAGTTACTGCATCTTCATCATAAAATGATAATCACTAGCACATCTTTTGAGGTGTCTAATAAACTTCAAGAATAATTCTCATGAGCTACTCTCATTTTCAGAAAGCCAGTTGGTATAGTGGTTGAGGCAGCAGGCTAGAAACCAGGAGACCCCTGCTTTAGGCACAAAGCCAGCTACGTGACCTTTGGCCAGCCATACTTTCTCAGCCCTGGGAAGAAAGCAACAGCAAACCACTTCAGAAAAAACTTGCCACAAAAATTGCAGGGACTTGTCCAGACAGTTGCCAGGAGTAAATAATAAAAACTGACTCAGAGAAAGCCCCCCTCAAAATCTCTTTTTCAATTATTAAGAATTTTAACATTTTCAAAAAACAGAGTTTGTAAAATAGAAAAATCTATTCTCCAAATCTTTATTCTATTTTTTTTATTGCTGAAAATCTCTACTCTGACTGCTTCTAAAAATAACTTTGTCTGATATGTTCAAAGCTATGAGATTTTCAAAGGCAGCTAATGTAACCGCTCCCGAGGATTAACAAATGTTAATTTGCCATTTGCTGATTCTGGCAAATTATGTATATGTACTTGTAACAAACTTAAAATTAACATTGTTCTATAGCTGTCACAAGAGTAATGGTAGTACTAGAGAGTTTGGTTGCCAGGAAAAAGCCATATGTGTTTGGCAGAATTTATTTTTTTAAAAAAAGGATCCCCATCTTTTCTTATATAAAATAAACCATCCTGTAATTAACAGATCAAGTAGAAATGTCTTAAGCCACATCTGAGACAGACAATCACAAATATTTCCTCAGTATTTTGCAGTAATTTCAGAATGAAAATACTGGGTAAATTCTTCAAAATAGATGCTGTAGTTAAAAGAGAATCTCATGACATTTGGGAATCTAATCTAGAGAAAGGAGAGATTATTATGGAAGTGTGAAAAATGGCCAAGCAGAAAAATCAAACTAGGCTTCAAACAGCAGAAAATCTCTCTTTGAAGCAGGAGTAACCTAAAGGTTAAAATAATGTTCTTAGGAGTGCTCAGGGAAACAGATTTCATTTTGCAGTTCTTCAGTGCTTAGAAGTTATCCTATGGTGCTGGAATGAATCAAGTGAGTGTGTGTTGGGAGATTACAGGGTAGTTCCAAGATCGCAGCAAGCCATGGCTAGAGATATATATGAGAAAAGATTTGGTTAGCATGAAGTCTGAGGACAACATTTCCCCCTGAAGAAGCCAGGAGTAGGATTTTAAGGAGGATGCTACTGATCTCCAAATACACAGCAAAAATGTGTATGCTATAAATTTCATACAGTAGTGCAGAGCTGGGCAACTATAGCCCTTTTATGACTTGTGGACTTCAATTCCCAGAATTCCTGAGCTAACATGGCTGGCTCAGGAATTCTGGGAGTTGAAGTCCACAAGTCATAAAAGGGCCATAGTTGCCCACCCCTGCAGTAGTGCCATTCCAAATGAGAACAGGGTCTAGGCATAAAAGTACAATTCAGTAACATTCCTTGGACATAATCAAGGTTAGGAAGCCTGCTCCTCCAAAAAGCCACATCATCACCACAAATCAGTAAATGGTATATTCACAGCCATTTGGATTCAGTGTAGCTACATACTCCACTTGCATTGTATTCTTGAAGAGTACCCTGTAAAACAAACTACTTTCTCTTTACTAATGGGTTTTTCCCTAATCTGGTGCCTTTCAAAAATTCCCAGTTAGAATTGAAGTCATACTTCTTGTTAACAATGAATATTCCAATGAAACAAATTGTATTTTCAAACACAGTTCACAATTTTGAAGTATTTTACATTTTAAATTTTAAAAAATGTTTTGAAAGACTCATCGTTCCAACTAGTACAGTTCAATGTTCAAATATTTTAAAATTTGTCCCATCCCATTCCATTTTTTCTTCAGATTTCTTCAGATTTTCTGAAAATCTTCAAAACTGGAATAAAGTTGTTATATTAAATATATTAGATATCATTTGGAGAAGTTAGGAAAAACAAATTGTGTCTTTTGAAAAAACTCAGTTAGGCCCGATATT